GATATCCATTTAGGGAGTGTCAGGTCTTAGAATTTTCTTATTAGTGTTGCTGTAGACAAGATGAGTTGTAGAAGTAAGTGTTCTTCTGCCGTCCTGCTCAGTTCAATAAATACCACCACCTTATTTGGTATACAGATTCTTCTCCAGATCTGAAACAGATCTGGTCTCTACTTGTGTGTAACCAGTTTCTGAGATTGAACTTCCCCAATGTCAAAGGGAGATATCTTTTTTTTTTTTTTAATGATACAGAATTACTGTTTCTCTTTGTAAGGAATACAGTTAACATCTGTAGTAGCTTTTTTTTTAATCAATTAATTAGACATATATTCAGTTTGCTGCAACAAAATCAGAAAAACGCTGTGCATTTGGTAGAGATGTGATCAGAATATATGTAAATTTAAGGGGTCTTGGTGTTGAGAGTGTTCACTGAAATTCGATGATCCTCCTGAGATTAGCAATGGTTACCAGTTTTATTGTTAAAAAGTGAAATAAACTCTCAAATCAGAATTGCACTGAATAGAAATTCTGGATTTTGGAAGTCTGAATGGAAGGAAATCAGTTAAGAAATTTGCTTGCATCTGAGATAACAAAAAAGAACTTTTCCTTTCTTATTGTTTTTCTTTTTTCTTATTTTCAGATCAAGAAACTTGCTTCCAACCTTAGACTTTTTGATTTTGTTGCAGAGGAGTCATGACTCCCCTCCCTGCCTCCTGCCACTAAACCCACCTATTTTTTATTTTATGCTTTTATGACACTGGCTTTTTCAATAATGTAAAAAGGCTAATTGTTGCAATGCTGCTGAAGGTTTTGTACAAGTGACCAGTGATTTCAGGAGGCTGTAGGGGTCAGAATCTCCATATACTGTAGCTGTTTTGATCTTCTGGAGTGTGAAGTGTGGGAAGGAGGAACGTTCTTGGGAGACTTTGCCCGTGGTGAAGCCTACAGTATGAGGCGGCAAGGCGACTGTGTGTGAGCATGTTTCAGGGAAGAGACAGTTGTTCCACTGTGCTGGGGGGAGTAGGAAATCATCCACATTTCTAGACCTGCCTCTAGGCCCTCTTTTTCCACTGAAGGAACAAGGAGATTGTGCCAGAATCGTTATGCTATCTTGAAAGCAAAAGTGTGTGTGTGTGTAAGCAGGGTAACAGGAGGGGAATATCTGCAGTGTGGAGCACAAATTCGTACTGCTAATGCTGTGACAGTGAACGTATTGTTCAGTTTTACATGTGATAGAATTGTGACAGTACTGTGATAGCTTCAGGTAATCCAGCACTAAATAATATCGACAAAAGCGTGATCATATGGTTGGATAGCTTGTTAATCTGAACCTAAAAAAATTTTCAGTGGTTTTTTTTTTTTTTTTTTTTTCTTAAAGATTTTTTACATGTAAGACTTTATAATCAAAGTAACATGGCCTTTCTGGTGTTTGTTTCTGCTTATAACGAGGAAAAGCAACAGTATTGTTATTTTCTCATGAGACTCTGTAGAAGTTTTTATTATGTTAAATAGCCATAGGTTTTAGAGTTTCAGTTCACGTATTTTTTCCCCAGCCTATCCTAAATCTTGAATAGATGAGCTTCTTGGTGGTGTTTTTTTTTTTTTTAAATCTATTGAAAAAAGATTTTTCTGTATTTGCATTCTTACTTGGAAGATGTGCTCTGATGTAGGAAAAATAATATTATGGCATTATGATTATTTTTACTTAGCCCACTCAATTCTTATACTTACAGTAGATCTAACTGAAGCTGTTAGTGGAGAATTTAGTAATATTTAGGCATTTTGCTCATCTATTTACTTTGTCCTTGCTTAGCACATTTATACAACTAGATCAAAAGTTCACTTATTCTGCTTTTGGGCATTCAGGAAGACTTCTGTTTCAACAGTGCTCATTCACCATGTGGTCTGTTCGTGTTTCTTTTTCTCTGGAACAGAAGTGTCAGATTAGCAAGAGAATAAATCGGTGGTCATTAAGGCAACATCAGTAAACCCAAATACATTGTGATTGAGTATAACTCATTTTAAATTACAGTTATATTTATTTTCTGTTCAGTCTTCTGTATTGTATCAGATGAAACTGCAACCAGTTTCAGGCGAGGGAAGCAGTGACTCATGAGATTTTTTACCACAGCTTAATGGATGGTTTCTGAGTTCCCGACTATGTCATTCTGTCTGGTTAAGGTTGTTTGTTTGTTTGTTTTCAGTCTGTAGGTAGTTGTAGGGGGGGAGACTGTGCTTCTTGAATAAATTCTCCTGTGATACTTTCCTGATTTGCAGATCTTCCAATTGAAGATTAATTGCAAAGCCAGGTTGTGTAACTTCTTGTGTCTATAGATTTATCATTCTTCCTGTATTTTAACTGTGTTGTGTGATAGGATTTTCCATCCATTGTGATATGTTTTCACAGGTGATTAGACCCTACTATCTGAAACTTGGTATATTTTTTTTTGTTTGTTTTACTCCTAGCTTGACTCCTGTGGTATCCTATGAGTAAGAGAAAGAATTTCTGTGTTTGACTGGGACCCAGTCTGCATCAGGCAATGAAGACTTTTGTTAGTTTGTTTTTTCAATAATATAAGAGTAGCTTTTTGGATCTTGAATGAAAATGGAAAGCATCATGATGTGAGCAGGCGCTCTCTTCTCCCAGGAGAACCACCCTGCATCACAGCTGATTAGACAAAAACCAGTTAATGTCATTTTAAAATGTCAGCAATCGAGTTTGGATAGTTACTGATGAAAACAACTGATGTCTGAAGCCTGAAATAATTTTTTTGATACATTCCTGAAAGAGAAGTTACTAGAAAAAACAAATGATTAGTTTTCTTCATTGGACTCGGAGAAAATTTGATGTTTCCTTCCCCCTTGATTCTTAACCAGTTCTTAATTCCTCATCAGTTAAACAAGGATGGGAGGGAGGGGGAGTGGCAGCTTTGGAATCTGTGGAACATGATGAGACCAGAACCAGTCAGTTCAACTAGCATGCTCTGCTCAGTAAAGCCCTTTTGAATATAAAATATGACAGAACACTTTCTTCATGTATTGTTGTTGAAAAGCTATGTTTATTGAAAAAACTTCAAATGCCTTTTTTTTGCATTTCCGTGTATTTTATTTTGTCTTTATAAATAGTATGACATACATGTTAATGCAGCATTTTGTTTACAACACACTAAAAATTTGGAAATGTAATCATTGCCGTGTAAATGTGCCTGGGTGCACCATATTGGCAAGAGTGTAAGATAGATGTCTATGACAGAAGGATGTTCATTTTACAGGGGCAGACACGGAACACTGGGGCACTGTTGATGTGGGATGCAGTCATGTAGTTGTTGCAGAAACGTGCAGCCCCTTAGCCAGCCGCAAGCCGAACTGTTTCATCTCCATCCTCTGTTGGGATCTTCCTGGTGTTGTAATAATTTCTTCTACCCATCATGGTAATTTTTTACTTCAAGGGGAAAGATGCAAAGCTGAGTGTGATTTTGTTGCCAGAAAAGATGTATGTCATCTATAAAGACTCTCATATCTGTATATTTAAACTTGGAAACAGAATTTTGTCACCTGTTTGAAAGTCTTCCAAATGAAGAGTTTCAGGGGGTTTTGAACCTATTTGTTGAAAATGTAAAAATGCAACACCTTCCGTTAGTTTGCAGTAATAACTGATTGACATCAGGGAAGATGGAAATTTACTGGCCAACTTTCAAGAAAAACCTTTGTCTAATTAATGAATGGGAATGAAAAATGAGCATGAGGATTTAGCAAGTGCAGCCAGTGACGCACTTTCATTTAGATGTACGTATCTTTGTAAATTGTCTTTTCAAGCTATGACAGCCATTAAAACCAAGTATCAAAATAAACTGAATTTAGAACCAGATCTTTAAATCACTGTATTACAAAGTGTTAAGCCAGCATTTTAAAAAAATGAAGCGTATTCAATCACGACTTTCACAAAAAAATTAATAATTTTTTAGCAAGATCAAAATTTTTTTGTACCATTCATAATAAAAATTATTTTAAAATATTGTTTATTTCAATCTTTTAATCATCTTTTTTAATTTCCATTTTTATATGTTTTATGAAGTACGTAACACATTAGTACAGTAGTACCTAGATATAATTTATAAATAAATACATACTGGGGGTGCGAGCTCAACAATTTTATACTGATTGAGATGCATGATAAAAAAAAACACTTTGTGACAACTGTTCTATATAATTATTGATACCAATTAATGTTCACAGAAATAAATATATGGAAGTTCATCCAGATCATGGAAAGTGCATTTTAAGTGTACATATTCTTTTCTCATGAAAAGTAGTTGTCTGATAGAGAATATTTTACTCTAGCTTTGTTTCAGGTGTAGTAATTCAGGAGAACAGGAGTGGTGATGTCTGCACATGCTTGAAGTTCTGGGGTGCCCCAGCTAAGATCAATGCCACATGGTTTTGGTCACTGAATGATAAGATGGGTGGTCCTTGTAAAGTGCTGACTGTCTCAATAGATGAGGGAAGTGATTTGTGGGTGGATGACAGTGGTGTAGAAAGCTGACTGCAAATGTTCTTTGAGTCACTTGGCATTACTGCTTGAATGTGTCGTCCTGGGGACAGCTTGTTTTTTAAGCATGTAAAGGTTTCAGACATTGTATTCATTTGAAGTTCTTGGTGCTTAGCTCATCTGAAATCAGACCATAAGCATGCCTTCTGGTGGCAAGGATATTGATACATCACAGCTGGTTGTTTTTTTTCTTGCCTTACACAGTTGTTCTAAACTGTGTAAATGTTAGCATTGCAGAAGTGTCTTGGCATCCTCAAAGGTAACATGGGACAAAGTAATTGGTTTTTTAAACTGGTGTTACAGAAGAATGTGTTCTGCCACATCTAAGTAACATTTGGTAACTTGCTGATTGGTTGAGCATTTCATTTAATTGCTCTAAGTAGCAGGCAGAGCAGAGAGAAGTACTTTTTCGTAAGCTACCTGTGTGTTTTTTGTTTGTTTTTCCCCCCCCCCCAGGCTAAAGCCTAAACTTCTGACATGGCCACAGCCTCACCAAGATCTGATACAAGTAACAACCATAATGGAAGATTACAGATGCAAGTAACAGGCAAGTAGTGAGATGTATCGTGGTGATTTTTACAAGAAAACATAGGTATTCTAAAAAAATAATCTTTGAACTGAGTGTAAAAAACGGATCAGTGTAGTTAATACCTAATTAATAAATTGATGTTACAGTTAAGAGTGTGAGTATAGTGTATGTAGATGAATTGAAGCTAGATAGAGGTTATGCTGTGAGTTAGATGACAGGTTTTAGTGATCTCCTCAAATTAGGAAAAAAGGATATTCAACAGTAGGGACAAATGTAAGGAATTCTGCTTGGGAACAAATAATTAATGGCACAAATTCTATAGAGGAAACAGATGTTATTGAAATTCTACAGAAAAGATCGACAATTGTAGTGAACCCCAGGCTGAAAATAGGTGCAATGTTATAATGAAGCTAGAGAAGAACTTGAGATCACAAAATCTGCTAGCCCTATAAAAGACTAAGGTCCTTGTTTACATATCAGGTAAACATCTTTTAAGAACAACATAGGTATTCTGTATTGTCCTTAGGGCAGCAGGATGGATTACACAGCCATATGGAATAAATTAGGTTGCAGGGGACCTTTGGGGATTTCCTAGCCTACTCTTCTGCTGAAGGCAGGGCTACCTTTGAAGTTGGATCAGGTTGCTCAGGGTATTGTCCAGCTGAATTTTCAGCATCTCAAAGGATGTAGATTACACAGTTTTCCTGGGCAACTTTTTCTAGTGATAAACCACATCAGTGTGAAAATGTTTTTCCTTTTATCCGCCTGGAATTTACTGTGTTGCATCTTGTGACTGTGCTTTTTTACTTTTGCTGTGCTGGTTTTCAGAGTTCAAGGCAGAATGCAGCCATCCCAGTCTCTGCTGGAAGGGAAGCACAGTGAGCTACAAGCAGTTCTGGAAATTTCTGACTGTGTTGGGGACACTTTTTTCAATAGATGCTGAACGGGCCAAATAGGTTATGCATTTTGCTATTCATGGAGAAGAACTGGTCAGGGATGTGATAATTGGGATGTGATAATTAGCTGCTCTTTCTGTGGGGTGGCAGAGTAGAAAAAAGGCTTGTTGTAGTCCAGAGATAAGCAAAAAGTATCTAGGTAAACAAGTCGTGATAGCTAATTATGACAGTGTTACAGTAGGTAAAAGTGGAGATATTAACAGCAAGTAGTTAGACATTGTGCATAAATATATAGATATAAATGTATGTGTTTGTATGTATGTATATAATTCTTATTTTACCATTGATAAGTAACTTGAACTTTTCAGGGATCCTGAGAAATCCGAGAACCCTGAAGTAAGAATGAGTGCATGAGCAAAGATATATTAAGACTATTTTGAATGAAACTTGGAAGATACCATTCCTTAAAAAAAGCTGTGTCTCAAGAAAGATACATCATGCTGGATGGTCCAAAGATGGCCAGGTTATCTGAGAAAAAATACATTGTTGAAGAGTCCCCAAAATGGAAATTTTGTGGAATTAGATAAGACAGGAGCCTTAAAACTGATTTACCTTGTGTAAGGATCAGATAATTTGGCAACGTGATGACTCATCAAATCTGGCAATAACTAATAACATAGGTGGAGCCACTTGTAGATTGAATATGTATAACAGTAACATACTGACTTACACAAATGACGTGTATTTCCATATCTGTGCATGCAGAAATGATAATTTTGATATTCTGTACTGCTCCTTATGTAAGTAGTCTTGTACTGTTTTTGACACTGGAGCTTCTCTTGGCTTCGAGAGATCTGGTTCGAAGATCGAAGTAAGAAATCTGTACAATTTTCACAATTAGTTTTCTGAAGGTTTAGTTCTCTTACCAGTCTTTATTGCAAGATTAGAGAAACACCAGTGGCAGTACAGGGAAAGAAGTGGGAGACAGGAATGTGGGACGTAGTATTGCTGACCTACAGAATCACAGAATGTTTGGGGTTGGAAGGGACCTCTGTGGGTCATCTAGTCCAATTCCCCTGCTGAAGCAGGGTTCGCCTACAGCAGGCTGCACAGGACCTTGTCCAGGTGGGTCTTGAATATCTCCAGAGAGGGAGACTCCACAACCTCCCTGGGCAACCTGTTCCAGTGCTCCATTGCCCTCGGAGTAAAGAAGTTCTTCCTCATGTTCGGGTGGAACTTCCTGTGCTTCAGTTTGTGCCCAATGCCCCTTGTCCTGTCGGTGGGCACCGCTGAAGAGAGTTTGACCCCATCCTCCTGACACCCACCCTTCAGATATTTATAAGAGCACTCTCAGCCTTCTCTTCTTCAGGCTGAACAAAGCCCAGCTCCCTCAGCCTTTCCTCGTAGGAGAGATGCTCCAGTCCTCTCACCATCCTCGTAGCCCTCCGCTGGACTCTCTCCAGTAGCTCCTCATCTTTCTTGAACTGGGGAGCCCAGAACTGGACAGAGTACTCCAGATGGGGCCTCACTAGGGCAGTGTAGAGGGGAAGGAGAACCTCCCTCAACCTACTGGCCACACTCCTCTTGATGCATCCCAGGATGCCATTGGCCTTCTTGGCAGCCAGGGCACACTGCTGGCTCATGGTCAACCTGTCGTCCACCAGGACACCCAGGTCCCTCTCCACAGAGCTGT